GATAGATAGATAGATTAGTCTTAAAACCATGAATATACGTTTATAGGCCTATCTGCCTGGTTTTCAGTTTAGTATTAGTGTAGCAGAGGGGGGTGGGGGAAATAAGTCCTTCTGTTTTTGCACTTTGTACTGATGTAGTCTATCTTTTTTTCTATCCACAGAGAAGTGCGAAAGAGAACAATAAAAACAACAGAGACCTGGTAATGCAGTGTCAATGATATTGGTATTGGCGCTGCTGTATTCAAGTTGCGCAGCATCATTAAAAGAAAAGAAACAGTGTTTATGTATATTCTCAATACTCAATTACAAGATTGGTTGTTTTGTTTTTGCATTAGGAACTGTGCATATTGTGTAAAATTAATACATTATTGTTTAAGCATATTCCTGAGTTTTGCATTTAGTGTATTAATACTTTAATTCCAATTGTATCACAAGGCTGGGGGCGTGGTGTGATCCGCACGTGACGTCATTTAGAAGGCGACAATAATGTGAAAAACACTAAAATTTACAGTCAATATAATTCTTTATCCAGTTAATCTTAACCCTTTATCTACTGACGGTACTTATAAGTACCACTTTAATTAAGTGCCTGTATTATGTTTAATTTATTACTAATTTTAAAAATTATTGAGGTTTTTAATAGTATTATCTCCCCTGAGTCGCCGGTAGTCGGAGGTATCAATGTTTTTTTAAAATTAATGGTGTGGCGCCATTTTCAATGTCTTGCTATATCGGTAGTTCACAATTGTTCTGTACAGTTCTCACACACGTTCCTGAATTCCCTTTGATTTACCTTATTTTTCAAGTTTTCAACCCCAAATATTTTTTATTGGCACCTTCAATAGTCAGGCAAACGCTTTTAACTTCTAGTTATACAATTTTAATAAAATTGTCTTTGTAATAGATCGATGTTTACAAGTGGACTTATAAGTACCGTCAGGGCACACGGACATTTTTTTAGGATTTTTAGAAAATGGCAGATTTGTTAGGTGGAGTTACATAAATATTGTCTTGATAATAAATTATCGAAATGTATTCAAAAAATGATATTTACACATTTATAAGAAGGTTTGCATAAGGTTTACCTAAGAAATATTGTAATTACATGTTAATTTCTAGTAGTAAAAAATAACAAGAATAAAGGTATCAGTTGCAGGCTCGTTTACAAGGTTTAGTTTACTGCATTTGTATACCAAGGCCTAGTTCTAGTAGTAAGATTTAATTTGTTAGTTATATTTACTGCAATAAACTGTCTTGCCAACAATAACTAGCATTTACGTAATGTATACCTGTAGACTAGTAAAAGTCCATACTTCTGCATATAGTATAGATCTATAAGGTAAATTTTAATCAGTAAACAGAAAAGAGTAATCCACTACGGATATCCTAAACACATTGAGCTCACTTCTATTTATGAACTTTACACTATAGTGTAGACTTGTCATAACATTCTAGTAGGCTACAATTATACTAGTATTACTAGTAGTTGTGTGCTGAATGACTAGGCTTTTGTTTGTTTATGCGGCTCATTGTACTAGTTATTGGAAACTTCCAGCAAAAGCATATTCATTCCGGCAACCGTTGCCACACCAGAAAGACCACAGACAAGATTGAGGGAGCATGACATGTCGACTACTTTTGCTGTGTATGAGGTCTAAGATGTGTTTCCATAGAAAATCTAGTAAAAATCGTACTCAAAATATACTTTTGTGCTGTATTTATGTGTGAAAATTACAAAATGTGATTGTTATAATGATTGCCATGTTATTAGTTAATAAATTGTATCGTTTGTTCCTGTTTTGTAAAAAAAAATTTTTTGAAAAAAATGTCCTAGATTACTGACGGTACTTATAAGTACCAATATCTGTTTGGGCCATTAAAAATTTATGAAACGAAATTTCCTTCGACATATGCTTTGAATGTGCCAAAAGCAATATAGTAACACATTGTTTAAGTAAAAATCTCATTCAGAACAAAATTCCGTAAATAAAGGGTTAAAATAAAATTATAGGGTAGACTCGCCACTGACTAAATCAAATTATGTTAATGTATGCAGATAACCCAAAGTTACATATTAAACCTTACATTTTAATGCACGAACCCACTTATAAAGAACTGTAAAAACATGTCATGTCACATGTACTCTAATATATAAATTTTGCTATGGAAGTGATAAAAAGTGAAAATTAATGACCAAGGACAGTCAGATTTACAAAAAGAAGATATTACTCATACAAAAGTATATTATTACTCATAAAAAATGCATTACACTTCTAGAAATTTATTGAAACTGTCTGTAAAAAAACAAAATTTGACTTATAACATTATACAATTTTCTTATCCTGATCTAGTTGAGAGTATTTTGTTCTATCTCAAAAGTGAAAAATAATTTTTTTGGGCTTCTATTGCTACATAAAGTCATAAAAATAGCATCAATGCTCATTGTTTAATGCCCTTTAACATTTTATAAAAAATAAATGAGTTTAAAATATTTTTAATAGGTAAATCAGACCCCGTGAAACTTCAAATGCGTTTTTCTCAAAACTACATTTTGGGAGATAGAACAAGATAATACTAGGGGGACGATATATATATATATATATATATATATATATATATATATATATATATATATATATATATATATATATATATATCCGGCCGTCAAGATCTTACACTTAGAGGGGGGAGGAGGATTTCAGTTGCATGGGAATGGGTCGGCACGGTCGAGTCGGTAAAGCTCATGGTTGCTAAACTGAAAAGTCTCGAGTTCGAGCCCTCGGCAGATGAGGCTCGTTAGCTGGGGGCAGCCACTTTTCTTGGATAGACAACTCCAAAATCAAACATCTGCTGCCTAGTAGTTTGTTCTTGGTTGGACAAAGGTTATGGAAGCAAATCCAAAAAGAAAAGCAGGCTGAAATCGGAGTCAATGGCCTCAATGGCACATAACCAGTTGACACGTATCCTTAATTTTGTTGGATGGGGGTCTCTCCCAACAATAAAATTAAGAACGAAGAAGAAGTTGCATGGAAAAAACAGTATATTACAATATATTAAAATACAGTTCTTCTTAGTTGGCCGCGTGTATCCACGAGTTTCTATTGTCAAATGAGCTTACGATAACACACACAAATTTGACATAAGACACTTGGATATCAGCAGAACATCATACCAAAAACAAGATGATTCATATCACACGTGGGGCGTACATTAGGATGTGTGAGCTAAGTGAGAACCCGACATAGGATCTGATCACCATCTTGTCTGTGTTGTTAAATTAAAGATGAAGTCTTAGTTAACAGCAAAGAAGAGGCAAAGGAATAACAGTGTACGAAATAATATTTGATGTAGGCTGTAAAATGAGTGTAAGCAAGGCATATGGCCTTTTCCTTCTTTGATGACTCTTTTGAGAGTCTTTTGTGGGATACTGTATCCGTGACCCGTAAATTTTCATACATTTCATTCCCATTCAGTTGAGGTTTGTAGCAATGTATGAACATTTACGGGTGTAGTATCTCACAAAAGACCCAGAGACCTGCATCTCCCTCTTAACTGTCTACCCTCCCCGAAACTCCATCTTACTAAACATCCATTTTTACGATTGAGCCCTTTTATTATTTTTTATAACAACTATGAACTGTGTTTTCACATAAGCTGTCCGACATTTGTCAATACTTTCCTACTAGTTTTAACCTTATGGCATTTTGTTAGTTGATGTAATTAATCATTAATCAATATGACGCTAATAACACTATATTAAGATTTTTGTTTGTCAGTCCTTGATGCATTAATACATAATTCATCCACATGCTAAGAAACTTTGGGAGGTCGTTGGGAATGCTCCTGCCAGGTTTTTTTCCAGACATTTTTGTGAAGATATGCCTACAAAAACCCCTGGCCCATGAAAGATTTCTGCCATTAATTTTTTAATTTTATTTTAGAGTTTTGTACCTGGAATCCATACACTTGATTCAACGGTCAAACTGCACAGGCACGTCAGCCGGCGCCCCAACGGTCGTGTAGCCCGGTGCGCCCCGGGTTCCCCCGTGAGAACTAAGGCGTCTATATTCGTTGTTAATGTGCGCCATACACTTGGGATACGCGGACGTGTAGGCTAGGCTGTATATTTTTAAAAATGAAAGTATGTGGATTTGTAGGTTTGGTTGTCCTTTATTTAATACGCCATTCATTCGATCGCCATGAAAATTTGAATTTTCTACGAACAAAACTCAATTTCACAGGAGCGGCGCTCCGGCTGAGTTCGATTTGGCGCCCAAGATTTTTCCATGAGTGCAATGGCGCATCCTTTTGTTTTGAAAAGTGTGGTAGAGTATGGATACGATGGGTATTAGGCCCCGGCAGGGTGCGATTTGGAGCCCCTGGCTATCCTGTGAGCATTATGGGACCTATGTTCGATTTAAAGAGCACCCTACAATATTTACACGGTGGCACATGACAATTGATTATTAAACAAACCAGAGGCAGTACTCGGCGCTCCTGCGATGGCGTAACCGGTGGCTCACGAGAGCACCCCTTTACGTCCTTGACACCCGGGCGGTCGCCGAAATTTGTTCTACTCCACTACTACGGAGAGTGAGTGGCAGTATGGGAAACCCGTGCCACGTCCGCCCACCTTCTAAAAAAAATTTGGATTATTAGTAGGTGTCACCCCTCTTTCCCTAATTTCCTAATTATTTTAATTGGATAAAACATAGTAATTTTTTTTTACAAATTAATGTTGTTACCCGATGCATACTAACAATACGTTAATAGGCTAACCAGCCAAGCGTCCCCAGTAACATTCATCTGTTGGTCAAAGTTGTGTTTGCTTATTTTATTAGAAAAAAAAAGGAGTATTTAAAATGCGAAAAAAACTCTTTATTTCTCAGAATTAACAATTTTTTACAAAAAATGTTTATGGGAATTTCCGATTTTTTTAAAGTAAAAAAGAGACAATTTTCTTTTAACTTCTAGAGTCTAGATCTATGATTCTACTCTAGTCTTGTATGACTAAATCTTCCAAGTTTGTATTGTTTCTTTATCTGTTCATCAACAGTGGCGGACCCTAATGCTGTTTTAGTTAGTCACTACACAGAGGATCGGAGAGGCCTAGATCAGAATAGTTATATATATAATATAGTATAGTTAAGTATAGGCCTATAGTAGTAATATATTATTAATAATTTAATATGTTATCTGTTTTTTTTTCTAAACTCAGCTAGAAATACCAACAACAAAAATCATATTATACATCCTATCATCCTATTCATTTAAGCTATCTAGATCGTAGTATCTAGATCTAGGCCTAGGCCTAACCATTTTAGAGGTCAAATTTTTTGACAACTTTTACCTCACACTGTCACACATCAACACAAAAAGTCAGCCCCACCCCCATACAAAAGTCACACCTTAGTCTACAACCCCCCTAAAAATTGCAGTTTTTTTAAGACATATATTTCTTTTTTAAATATTGACTGACTAGATTCTATATTAATTAATGTTTATTAAATTATAATTAATCAAAACATTTTACTAAAATGCTAAATAAAAGCTAAATTCAGTTTCTAACATTACTTCTTCAAAATGCAAAAGTGTGACACCGCACAATCTGAATTTCATCTTCATCCATATCACATATTGTCAAAAAATTACTACCCCCCCCCCCAAGAAATGACATAATTTATGGAAGAACCCTCCTTATTATCCAAAGTCAGTGACAAAAATTAATTAAATGTTTTTTTCTTCAGTAACAATCTGGCAGCTTTTCCACATCCAGTCATTCCATTAGAAAAAAAATATATTTTAATTGAACCATAGTATGCTGAATTTATATGAACAAGCATTGATTATCTTGAAGTCAGCACATTCCTGTATTTTGCAATATAATAGAGACAGTGATAGTTTAGTAAAGGTGGCACACTATAAAGAATTTACTACATGGATGAAAATAGTAATAAGTAGGTTACGTATTACATAAGAATGAACACAAAATCTACAAGTGGTACCAGTCGTGTGAAATCTGCTAGGGGAAATTGTGAGTTTGAGGATAGTAATGTAGAAAAGAAGAACCTTAAAACCTTTTCAGAGAGTGGTGAACCACAATTGTTGAATTCATTTGAAAACAATGTAACAGACATACAAATAAAATCCATCATCATCAATCGAAAAATATATTTAAATCAGGTGATGGAAAAATTTGTTAGATCTAGTAGCAAAACTCACCATGAGAAACAATTAAGCAAACCTGAGGATCAGAAAATTATGCAAGTAAAAGACAAAATAAAAGTGTCAGATTTACAGCTACAGTTTGTCAAAAAATGTTTTGGAACATTTGAAAATTGCACAGTTAAATATGATGCAACTAAGAGAAAAATAGTTTTAAATGGCATTTTAGATGCAGTTAATATTCAGGAGATAACCATATTAGAAAAAATTAGAAATATAAAAATGAAAGAAATAAAACTGGATATATTATCAAACATTAGAGCAAAAAGAATTGTAAAAAATATGTTAAAAGCATACAATGTACATTTCTTAATGAATGCTAACATTTTAACCCTGGCTTCAAAAACTGATGAGGTGTTGTGCAGCACAATTAGGGATGTAAACAATGAATGCAATAATTGGAAGACTTTTAAGTCTCCAAAACCAATAGATGTAGAGGAACTTGAAAACTTGAAAGCCAGTTTAGAAAAAAAATATTTGCTTTTTGTCACATGGACTCAGAATACTGAAATAAGTTTTGTTAGCTGGAAACAAGATGTAACTCATGCAGAAAATGAAATTATGCTTTTCTTGAAAAGTGTTGATGACAAAGTTAAACAAGTTGAAGAGGAAATAAAAATGCCAGGGGTAATGATTTATTTTTTGGAGGAATGTCTTGGTGTATTTGAAAATTGCACAGTTGATTATGATGCATTGAAGAAGATAGCTATTTTAAGAGGTGTGAAAGAAGCTGTTGCATATCATAAAATAAATATATTACAAAAAATTAGAAGTATCAAAATAAAAGAGATATCACTGGAAATACTATGTAATGTCAGAGCTGAAGAGTGTATAACAAACTTTTTAAAATCCCAACATGTTCAAATGTCGATCACTGACACCAAGTTAACCCTTGCTTCTACAGCTGAAGATATTTTATACAGCACTGTCAATGACTTAAGCCATGAATTTAACATTAGAAAGACATTCAAGGCTCAAGTGCCAATAGCCGTAAAAGAGCTTGAAACCCTAAAAGTGAAATTAGAAAAAAAATACATTGTTTTTATTTCATGGACTGGACAGAATACTGAAATATGTTTAGTTAGTTGTAAACAAGACATGATTGAAGCAGAAAAGGAAATAAATCTTTTTCTTAAAAGTTTTGATGTTGTTGAAAAAGAGTTTTCTCTGAAGGGGATTAAAGCAAAGTATGTGTATAAATATGTTACTAAAAGGTTTTGTTCACTTCTAAAAGATGTTGAAGTTTTGGAACAATCAGAAGGGGAAGATGGTATTAAAGTTAAATTCAAAGAAAGCTATGCTGTTGTAGATCAAGTTTACTCAAATTTAGTAGACTTTGTTAACCAAATAAAACATCAAGTGTTTGACCTCACAACCATGTACACCAAGACTGAAGATCTTACACTGGTGGTGTTGGGTTTAAATACTGATGAAGTGAGGCAACAGATCCGTGAGATGGAAAAGTCTGAGAAATGTATCATTCTGCTAAACATACCAGATAACTCTTGTATCAAGCCTGTTGAATCAGAACTTGATGCTGCTTGTCAGAAGTTTCAGTCAAATAACAGTTTTGTTTATGTAAAAACAGGCAATTTACACAAGGAAAAATCAGACATCATTGTCATGTTTCTGGATAAAAGAGATAAAAGTTTTGATAAAAAAAAGTCACTATTTCAGCATGAGGTAATGTTGGATGATGATGCTATGACCGATGACATTCAAGTATTTATGAACACTGACACTTTGAGCCCAAATGTCAGGGCAGAATGTTGTGTTTTGGTTGGTCAACATGATCAAAGTTCACTAAGTTCACTTCTAGATTACATCATCAATGGTATTCTTCAAGAAGCACTGTCTCTGGGAGCCAGTACAATTTCTATTTCTTCTAAAACTTTAAACAAACTGTTCAATGGCACAACAGCAGATATTTCTGAGCCTTTAATAACTGCTATCCATTCATTCTTGGAGGAAAATGATTTAAGTAAAGTAAATATAATTGTAAACAAAGAAGATTTTCAAGAATTTGTTAATGTAGCATCAACTACTTTTACTAATAAAGATGCTGGTGATGATGATACTGATGAATCATTTGAAGAGGATGACGACTCCGAAGATGAAAGTACCAAAAAGTTAACTGTAGGCTATTTAGACACAAGTGAAGTCCAGTGTGTTACTGTAGATATCTGCTTTATTGATTGTAAAGAATCAGCAAAACTGGCCATAAAACTTCAGAAACTCATAGAAACTGAATGCCTGTATACATCAAAAATGTCAAAGGAAGCAATGGATTTCTGGCCTATAGATTTTTTAAAGGCAGTAGAAGAAAAAGTTAAAGGGCTGCACCTTTATGTTGAGATGACTAATGGCAATGACAGCGTCAGTCATACAATCAAAGGGAAAAAACAATCAGTTGATATTTTGGAAGAATTTTTTAAGAAAGAAATTATGACAATTATTAAAAAGTGGCCCAAACACTGTATTACATCATCAAGTACACCAGCTAGAAAGACCATTGAATTTTTGGGTCATGCTTCAAGTATTAATGAAACATGTCCTTCTTACTGGAATTTATACAAAAAAAGAGGATTTTGGGAAAAAAAATTTAAATTAGGTTTATTAAAAAAGAAAAAGCTGTTAGTAAAAGTGGATGAGGAAACAAAAAAAGCTGTCACTGATTTAGTACTGGCTACTTGGGATTCAGGTAAAGTTGGCGTAGGAGCTGATGCAACAGGGCTGCAGAAGCATACAACAATAGAGGTACTTGATGTTAGAAGAATAGAAAATCCTGTTCTATTTCAACAGTATGCAAGCCAAAGAAAAGTTTTATTTAACAGAATGTCTGAAAAAGGTAAACTCTGTGACCCACTGCCTATGCCAGTAAAAAGTACTGAGCTTCTAGAAAATTTCATGAAAAAAGAACTCTATGAAGAGGTGAATGAACATTATTTATTTCATGGCACCAAAACTGAATACTTTGAGAGTTTATCAAAACATGGACTAGATCCAAAATTGTGCTTACAGGCCATGCTGGGAAATGGCATTTATACAGCAGAGATGTCAACCAAAGCAGACCAGTACACAGACATCAGACCAAAAGGTTTTTATTGTATTTTATTATATTTTATTTTATTTTATTTTATTTTATTTTATTTTTATTTTTATTTTATTTCATTTTTAGACTTACACGCCTTCACCTTTTTTACATCTTATACCATCGATGTGTCTATTGCAAGAATATATTATATGCATCTAATATTATAGCTATTTTTTTTTAAAAATGCTCTTAATAAACTTTTATCTCCTCAATTGCTAATCTTAAAATTGACCTCAGCTCAAAGGATTGAGTCTTGATGAAATCTTGACTTCACCAAGCTCTGATTAGTGCTCTGATGAGTACATGACTTCACTATGCAGAAATAAAGAAGACTGGGTTTTATTTGGACCAAAAAGTACCTTTATATATTGGTGTCAGTTATATTTCTTTACATACTTTTTAAAAAAATTTACAGGGGATGGAGACCAAAGATCACAACCAGGCACTGAGCTAGTGATGCTTTTAACAAGAGTTTTACTTGGTAATGTCTTTGCTATAACCAGGGATGATCCTTATTTGGCTCCAGAGGGTATGTAAAGTTATGTCTTACACTTATGTATTTAAAACAGATATTACATCATTGACAGAGTGTAGGCCTATACATAATTTTCAAGCAAAAGTAATATCATATTAACTAGCTCCAAGTTGAAAAACAACAAAGTATTTTATTAACCTACATATAAATTATCCCTGCTTATCTCAGTAGGCTGACTTCACTTGCTTCAAAGAAATTAAAGATAACTGAATATAGTGCTAATGAGTTTATGCCTTCATATCATAGATTCTTTTAAGTATCACTTGAGGAAAGGGGGGGGGTGCACTCTGGATAATGACTAATATCCCCGCCCCCCACCTGACAGTTGAAAATTAAATTATTTGTATTTATATAGTAAATCTAAGCTTAAGCCAGTGTCCAACCCATCCTCACCACACCTCATCTCCTGGAAAATTAAAAAATTTAGGGGCACCTGAAGTTTCAAGTGTTTGTTTCTCCCTCCCCCCCCCCCCCCCACTACAGTGCAGCATGTCTGAAAAAAGCTATGCTTTAACTGCTTTTTTCAAAGAAACAAAAATTAAAAATCAGGTCTATAAGATCACTTTTAAATCAGTATTTAAAAGTTTTTTTGGGGATGGTTTTTTCTGTAATTTTGACCGTAAGATATTTTAACCTTTTTAGGTATTTTGCCATGGACAACATCATACACATATTAGTATAGGTCTACATATTCCTTTACATTTATTTTTTTGTTTTAGGGGTCATCCATAAATGACGTCAAGCTTTTTTTGACGATTTTTACCTCCCCCCTCCCCTCCATCACACGTCGTCACAAAAAGCCAGATCCCCCCCACCCCCCCCCCCCTAAAATGACGTCACACCTCAACCTACAACCCCCCTCAAAATTGCAGTTGAATTTTTTTTAAACATCGATATTTTTCCAAAATCTTGTCTAAACTATTATAATTTATTAAAACAGTTATCTAAAACGCAAAATAACATCTAAAATTCGTTTTCTAACATTGCTTTTTTATAAAGCAAAAATGTGATGTCGCAACATCTGAACCCCCCCCCCCCCTCCCCCTCATCACACATCATCACAAAATTACGGACCCCCCCCCCTCCCCCCTATGAGTGTGACGTCATTTATGGATGACCTTTTACCAAAATGCTCCAAAAGTTTTTCTAGCTTATTATACAATATATTCATTTTGAATTTTCCAAAAAAAATCATACATGATTTCAAAATAAAAGTATGAATTTAAAATACAATAAAATCTTGTATATTTGAAGATCGCTTATCACATAAGGTGAATAATCAACATCCACAAATGAATTCAGAATGAATTATATTATGGTTGCTCTAACAGCCACATCAAAAACTATTTTTTTAAATGAAAAGGCATAATTCTAAAGGTTGAGGGAAAATTGTCTCAGCAGAACCTGAAATATATTCAGCTTTTGATAATATTTGTCTGATTTTTTACAGCAATTGAAACCTGCTGAGACCATTCCAATTTAAATAACAAGAAAAATCTATTTAAAAAAGCACCGCAATATATTTATATGGTGTAGAATATTTGTATTTCTTTTCTTCATTTAAGCTCCAAGATTGCGACGACCTCCTTGCAAAGATTGTTCTAAGGCTGTTTGTTATAATAAAACTCATGAGCCTTGTGATTCTGTGATGCTAAATGGAAAAGGATGTCTCTTTCGTGAATTTGCTGTTTATGATTGTAGTCGATGTTACCCCGAATATAAAATCACTTATAAAAGAATAGCGCCTTAAAATGTATAAAAACTATTTAACAATCAGGCAGAAGTGACTTTTTAATTGGTTGTTATGAAGTTTACTTGCACCAAAAATCTATAAATCACAGTCTCCAATATTTGAAATGTATTAAGGACAACATCTAGCTTTAGATAAGTTAAGATGTATAGATATGAGCAATAAAATGAAACTCATTAAAATTTTAACAGAGTAAGAAAACCTCATTGTCCCACTGTTTTTGCATTTTTATTTTGTCTGTTTTATTTATAACTGCATGTTTTGGTACTGGCATTTATTATAGTATTTATTTGACTATTTTATAAAAAGAAATATGAAATCAAATCACAACATAAAATTTAAATAACTAATTGTTTAGAACTAAATGAGGAATATAAAGCTAAGCCTTTTTTTTGCATGATAAACAGATTAAATATCTGGCTGATTTAAAATGCAGGGTTAGGGTTACTTAAGTCTAGTGCCATTCTCAGCTGAGTGGTCAGTAACTACATGCATCATTTTCATTTTAATCACATTTTTTGTTTCATTTCTTTTACAACTTTAATGATATTGTTAGTAGTTATTAAAATTTTTATTAACATTTTTAAACATATGTATGTATTTCATTTTGCTAGCTCCTATTATTCTGTTACAACTAAACTTTCGTGTAGCTTACAACAACAAAACCAGTCAACTTTCTAAGTAGATTTTCTTATTCAAACAATGACGTAAAGCTTCAAGTAGTATCACTCATTTATGCTAAAGTAAAATTGTATCATTAAGGTCTTAGTTTCTTTTGTGCTGGTTGATAATAGATTTCAAGGAAACAGATAATGTGACAATTTAATTTTTCATAAGTATTCATTAATTAAAGATTTTGATAATATATTGAGTTAGGGTTATAGTTTCTAATATATAATGAGTGGATTAAAATTGTTTGTTAAGTTACAATAGGTATACTCACAATTTTTGTGCTTCTTTATTTTTATGAAAAGACATCAATTTATATATGCTCTCCTTAAATCATTTTGTTAATAACTATCAAATTATTGAAAGTTTTAAAATAAAATTTAAGGTCAAAAGTATGTTTTTTTTTAATTTGTTCAATACATGTATTGTAATAGTAATTTGATTATGTTTAAACATCCTTATACAACAGCATTCCATTCTATACATATTTATATTAACATTAAATAAGTTTTCAAAGTTATAATTACCATTTTTATGGCTTTTATTTTGAGTGACAACATTTCAAGATTGTTGTATGTTATTTTTTTTTTTATTTTTAAATGAATGAAGAATAGTGACAAGCATGTTTTTGAGGCTGAATTTTAGATGTGCCCTGGTACTTTAGTATTCAATCATGTTTATAAAAATCTTTACCACTAATTAGCCTATCAACGAGTAGTTTCAATGGACCTGAGATTATGATACCACAACATATCAAAATATTTTGTTTTATAGTCTTGCTTACAACATTATTGATTTTTACCATTTGGTGGTTGTTATAACTGGGATTAGCATCTGGTAGGGAACTGGGATAAAATATAGACTTATAATTATAGGTATGTCCGTACAATTGAGTAGTAGAAGGTTAGATTGGCCATAAAAGGTGCCATACCACCTTATTATAATGAATTTTAACATATAAGATGCCAATAAATAGAAACTAATAAAAGTGTCTTCCACAAATGACGAGAAAATCCAGTGCTGTTTCAACAGAAAAAAAAGAATGGTTTTATTTAACAAAATTTCAAGAAAAGGTAAAGTCTGACCCACTGCCTAAATGAATTTAAACAACTTTAGAATACACCTGTTTCGGCTAACATGTATGATATTCTTCAAACTAGTAATGTTAAAGATGTCTTTTTCACATTTTCGACTTATAAGCAATACAGTAAATTCCGAAAACGTCCATATGCATACATGCAGTGGCGTAGGAGGGGTTTAATAGTGATTTAATGATACTTTCTTAACCCTCTACTAAACATCATGTTTGGTACCTTGCCCCCGGCAACTGGGTGGATTTGGATTACACCCAAGTTTTACTTCATAGTAAATGGCTTCAGTTTTAATTATTGGAATTGGTAGCAACATTGACACAGTTGAAGGTATTAAGAACAAGGTGGTCAGGAGAAATGACATTAATTAGTATAAAATTTACCATTACGAACAATAGGTCCTACTTAATTGTTTAATGTTGCTGGATATTAAGCCTGGTAGGTATTTATGTTTATTAATTTGTAAAGAAGCAAAAAAAGGATTCCCAAACAAAGTTTTATTTTTCAGAAATAAAGAAAATGATACAAATCAATAAAGAACAGTTTTCAAAAGAATTTGCATAAAAGTAATTATTATAAAATAAGAATATAGTGTTGCATAGATAAAAATAAAATACTTGACACAAACAATATGAGGAATATTTTTTATCAGAGAAGAGAAAAATATATCATGTGGTTTGAAAATAATAATGTACAGAATGTAGCTTTTGCAGATTAAAATGAAAATTCTTGTTTCATTTTTAAAATATTATAATAAAACATTTTTAAAAACTCTATATTAGGAATTGTGTATATATATATAAATTTATTTATTTAATAAGACAATTGGGTGAATTATTATAATAAACAGCAAAAGTGATTCAAATAAGTTTAGAAGTATTTGGCTTGCTGTCCCAACAGTGAACTGTATCCCGAGCTTGTTTCCTTAGTGATAACCCATGTTTTTTGTGCCACCCTTCCAATCAAATATCCAGCTTTTTCTTGGCCTGTATCATAATGCTGGTCATAGACTTGCTTGACTTGTGTATCACAATATGATTTTGAATGTTTTTCTGTAAATGAAATAAAGGTAAAATATTTTGATACTTTCTTTTGTGGATCTAGCAAGAGAAATACATTACAAATTTATATTACTATCTCTACTATTTCTTTACTATGACTAATTACTTTGAAAAGATAAAGCACTGAACATGATGAATAACAAGAAACAGAGATAATTATAGATTTAAAATTTTGTTTATTCATATTGAAGATTAATGAAGTAGACTATCAATATTTACCCTCTTTATGGCTGATACTTTGATTTGATGTCTTTACTTTAAGCTTACACATCAGTCTCTGTGAGGTAAAATATAAAATATGCTTCAATAAAACTGTTTCAGTATATTAATTATATTAGATAAGTACATAGTTTTGAGCTCTATAACAATATGTGTTTCAATTATCATTCAAATATAATACCCTCTATGTTGTACAACTCACTGATTTATTAGAATTTAAGAAAAGACAATAATTGATACAATATTTTGGATTAAAATCCATTATATTTATTATAACATATAATGCTATCTCTTGCTATAATAATTACTTTAAAAAATGGATTATGCCTTCAGTACAGTTACCTGAGGATGAAACTAGGCACAGTGTATAGTCCACTGAGACTGACTAATATCCATTGTAATTGAACATCAGTTGTAGTTATGAAATCTGGATGGCCAAACACACACTCATAGTCCTGAAAAGCAATTTACACATAGATTAGCAAGAGTATCTCACCAATTATTAAATTAAAGCTGACCCCTATTTAGTGCAATCCATCAAATTAGTAGCATTTTTATTAAGTTGTAGACACAATACAAAGTAATGTTTGTTCTGTGATTTACATACTTTTATAAAATAGCAATCAAATTATATATATATATATATATATATATATATATATATATATATATATATATATATATATATATATATATATATATATATATATATATATATAAAGCGCAAACAGAAAAAAGCACACAGAAAAAAGCGCAAACAGAAATAAACCGGGAGTGATCTCCCCTAAACTTTCTCAAATATTCTTATATAAAATAACAGGGGATGGGAACTCGGGCTATAGACATGATTTTTAATCCATTTTAAATACTTAAAGTTTTAAAAATAGAATAAAATCTCGTAGACAAAAGAATTGCACATCAAGTGAACGCCAAATAAAAAAGTGCATAATAGCGCGCAATATTATTAGTACTTTAACCCTTTATTTACGGAATTATGTTCTGAATGACATTTTTTCTTAACCAATGTGTTATCATATTGCTTTTGGCATACTTAAAGCATATGTCGAAGGAAATTTCGTTTCATAAATTTTTAATGGCCCAAACAGATATTGGTACTTATAAGTACCGTCAGGAATGTAGGACATTTTTTTCAAAAATTTTTTTTTTTACAAAACACGAACAAACGATACAATTTATTAACTAATAACATGGCAATCATTATAACCGTCATTTTTTGTAATTTTCACACATAAATACAGCACAAAAGTATATTTTGAATACGATTTTTATTGGATTTTCTATCGGAACACATCTTAGACCTCAAATACAGCAAAAGTTGCCGACATGTCATGCTCCCTCATTCTTGTCTGTGGTCATTCTGGTGTAGCAACGGTTGCGCACTGAACATGCTTTTGCTGGAAGCTTGCAATAGCTATTACAATGAGCCGCATAAACAAACAAAAGCCTAGTCATTCAGTACACAACTACTAGTAATACTAGTATAATTGTAGCCTACTAGAATGTTATGACAAGTCTACACTACAGTGTAAATTTCATAAATAGAAGTGAGCTCAATGTGTTTAGGATAGCCGAAGTCTGTTTCCTGGTGACGGATTAAAATTTACCATAGAGATCTATACTATATGCAGAAGTATCGACTATTACTAGTCTACAGATATACATTACGTAAATACTAGTTATTGTATGCAAGACAGTTTATTGCAGTAAATATAACTAACAAATTAAATCTTACAACTAGAACCAGGCTTTGGTATACAAATGAAGTATACTAAACCTAGTAAACGAGCCAGCAACTGCTACCTTTATTCTTGTTATTCTTTTACTACTAGAAATCAACATGTAATTACAATATTTCTTATGTAAACCATATGCTAACTTTCTTATAAATGTGTAAATATCATTTTTTTTGAGTACATTTCGATAATTAATTATCAAAATAATATTTATGTCACTCCACATCGAAAATCTGCCATTTCCTAAAAATCCTAAAAAAATGTCCGTGTGCCCTGACGGTACTTATAAGTCCACTTGTAAACATCGATCTAATACAAAGACAATTTGATTAAAATTGTATAACTAGAAGTTAAACACGTTTGCCTGACTATTGGAGATGCCAATAAAAAATATTTGGGGATGAATACTTCAAGAATAAGGTAAAACAAAAGGAAATCAGGAACGTGTGTGAGAACGTTACAGAACAATTGTAAACTACCGATACAGCAAGACATTGAAATTGGCGCCATACCAAAAATTTTCAAAGTACATCGATCCCTCCAACTACCGGCTACTCAGGGGAGATAATACTATTAATTACATCAATAATGTTAAAAATTCGTATTAAATTAAAAATTATACAGGCACTTAATTAAAGTGGTACTTATAAGTACCGTCAGTAGATAAAGGGTTAAAAATTTACATTAGTTTTTTTTGAGAAATCGGAAGTAAGGTAAATTACTACTTCCGGTCAACGGAAATTACTCAAAATTTGACAGAAGGTAGAGAATTATATCTTATACTTACATGTGAAATTTCATTTATCTATCTGAAATAGTACTCAAGTTATAGGCTTTTGAAAAATTCAAAGTAGACAAAGTACCACTTCCGGTTATCGGAAATCGCTCAAAAGTTGATACGGATCTACGATTTTGATAAAATACTTATATATGAAATTTCATCAACCTAGCTGTAACGGTACTCAAGTTATCGTGTTTACACACAGACACACAGACACACACAATACGGACAGAATTGCAAAGCCCAGTTTTTCAGACTGGATTACGCATAAAACCTCTTAATTTTGATAAATCTGGATTGATAATTTTTGCCCGATTAAAATAAGTCCTCTATACTCCGGATGTGATGAAGGACTGAGGAGTAAAACGGTGAAAACTGTCAAAATTTCATGTTATTTTTGTGCACGATTACAATACTTTCTCTATACTTCGTATATACGAGAAAGTAAAAAGCGCAAACGGAAAAAGCGCAAACAGAAAAAAGCTTAAACAGAAAAAAGCGCACACAGAAAAAAAGCGCAACCAGAAAAAAACACAACGAAAAATGTACAAAAGAGAAAATTTAGCATCACTGTTTGGGCTGCTGTGAGAGTCTCGTGTTTGATCACGTGATGTGTTACCATTTAAAGCATACCACTACCATGTGCTTTCCCATCACCACGATACAGGCGATAATCGCTTTACACAATGCCTGTTATTTTCTTGGTCAATATTTATTCAACTACTATTCTCGTATAAATAAACATAAAACTATCCTTGATATCGACATTACACGAAGTATCTCTCACATTCTCCCTAGTCCGAACTACCTAGTTTGCATACCATAACAACCTGTTCCTATGGCAAAACTTCACTCTCTTGCATCCGCGTCATAAAACATGCATTCGTCATATCTCTCGCACCAACATTCATTCGCACCAAAATACCATGATAAAACACACATCATAACAATGATGTATTTAATATTATTTCATTATGACGCACCTACCTACCTACCTACTTACCTACCTACCTCCCTACCAACCAACCAACCTATTTACCTACCTACCTACCTACCTTCCTACCTACTTACCTACCTACCTACCTACCTACCTACCTACCTACCTACCTACCTACCTACCTACCTTCCTACCTACCTACCTACTTACCTACCTACCTACCTACCTGCCTACCAACCTGCCTACCTACCTACCTGCCTATTACCTTCCTGCCTACCTACCTACCTGCCCACCTGTCTGCCTGACTGTCCATCTATATGCCTATCTACCTGCCTATATTTACATATATATATATACATAAACCACCAGAGGCGTAGCGACCCTTCCCGGCGCCCGTGGACAAACTTTTGATGTGCACCCCCTCACTTTCGATTTGCACACACCCACCCCCCCCCTCAAACTTTCGATTTGCACCCACCTCAACCTATATCAATTTATTTTTCCAACCCATTTTGGCGCCCCCTAAGGTCGGCGCCCGGGGACATATGTACCCCCCCCCCCCCCTCTACGTTTCTGTAAACCATCTAAATTATCCAATGTACTTTTTTCACATTATTGTCAATATTCTTTGAAATTTGTTCATGAAAGGAAAGAAAATATTTTAAAATCATTTTACAGAATGCAATATTTTGTTTAAATTAATTTTACTGTACGACATCTTTAGAAGGTTTCTAAGACATTGCTTTCATGGAAAAAAGGGGGAGTTACTCTTATATTAATGTTTTTTTGCTGTGCTAACAAATAAGAGCAATAGTGTGACAATAATTGTAGGCCTACAACCCCTGAGAATAATTTTATATCTGCAAATTGTGATATCATTGTCCAGGCAACATTAAAATAAATAGGCCTACAAAATTAATTATAAATTCGTGATTTCAATACTTTAACTCTGACTTAAGTGTCTTTAGTTAAACTGCTACTACTTAAACTAGTAGTAGATCTAGTAGTAGATTAGAATATATAGAATATATATTATATAGGTACTAGGATAAATTTTGAATATTGTTTTTTTAGGGAAACAACTACTACAGTTAAAAGGAGCAGAAAATTACAATAACAGAACAGTTTTCCTTTTTGATGTAGCTCAAACGGTTAAATAGTTATGATTTTTTTTCGTATTAAAAATTGTGATTTTTTTAACATAGGATTTTTTCCAATTTCTGTGATAGAGTTTTTTTAAGCGTTTACTAAAATTGTCCTAGCTTGTAAACCATATGGTCAAATTTGTTATAACTTTGCAATGTCTTTATTTATTATATATGGAAGCATAATAAACAATAAAATTAGAAATTTATGGGCAGAGTTAAACAAAAACAGAAGTAGAACAGGGTACCCCCCCTAATTTTTCATATACAGTGCATTCATACAATCTCAGTTAAAATTTTAACTATTCCAAAAATTAAGCTCAAACTTGCTGAGAATGTTGAGCTATGGATGTGTCAGTTATTACAATCAAAATAATATTCACAACTGAAAAGTTTTTTGTTTTAACTGCTACAAAGCTGATAGATTATGCAATTTCGCAAAACCGAAGTCTTGTTGATGTGAAATGCAACATGATGGCAAATTTGAGTTATTAAGCACTTAAGTCTCAAAATTTGCCTGGCTCTAGATGACTCTATTCTTAAACAGAAACAATCAAAATATGTGTTTAAATCTATCTGTTTGACAAAAAATAAGGGGTGGAACTGGGTACACCCCCTATTTTTAAATACGAAATTTGTTCATACAATATCAGCTTAGGTCCAAACTATTTGAATCTAAAGCTAAAAACTAACCAGAGTGAAGCTCTGAAATAAGTGTGTTTGATGGTTCTATCTAAATAGTTGACAAATAGGTAAAAGATGGTAAAAAGGTAAAACGCTGAGTCATCGACGCGCCTAACATAATTGAAAAACTGAACTAATATATTAAAATAAAAATGATGGCAAATTAGATCTATTAGAAATGTAAGGTCTTTTATTTGTATAAATGTAATTAACTTGTTAGTCTACTTATAAATATAGTTTAATTAAAAAAGATGTGTTTCTGTCTATTCATTAGTATTTTACATTTCAGAAGAAGTTCAACATTGGACTGGTTGGTTTTAAAAAGATATAGAACTAGTTCATATCACTAAACTTTCAATGTACTGCTTCAAAATTTATTTAAGTTATTTAAAAAAATATTACTTAATTTGTCTAAATAAAAGATGAACACATTTATTGTAATAGTTTTAATTCCTCTTTACATAGTGTTCCCTCATTAGGCCATATATAACTGTTCATCATATCGTAGAGATGTGCTGGTTTTAGAAGTGTAGGTTCTATCTGGAAAAGTAAACAGTACATTATTTGCTTTCACATCAAAATAAATAAAACGGTTTTTCTAGACACTAAAATTAAATATTGAACATTTATTGCTATTACCGCACCAAACCTCCCCCCCCCTCTACTCCACTACCTTCAATATCAAAACAGCGTTTGCCACTATCGCCGGCGGCAAAACATCGTTCGCCACTATCGCCGGCGGCAAATCGCCACTATCGCCGGCGGCAAAACATCGTTCGCCACTATCGCCGGCGGCAAAACATCGTTCGCCGCTATCGCCGGCGGCAAAACATCGTTCGCCACTATCGCCGGCGGCAAAACATCATTCGCCACTATCGCCGGCGGCAAAACATCGTTCGCCACTATCGCCGGCGGCAAAACATCGTTCGCCACTATCGCCGGCGGCAAAACATCGTTCGCCACTATCGCCGGCGGCAAAACATCATTCGCCACTATCGCCGGCGGCAAAACATCGTTCGCAACTATCGCCGGCGAAAAAACATCGTTCGCACTATCGCCGGCGTCAAAACATCGCTCGCCACATTTTTTTCTATTACCTCCCTTGCCACTTTCGCTTTCATATTGTAAACAAACGAATTTTTTTTATAGAGGTAGCAAATCTGTGCAGCATATAACTTTTGTGCGCTATGTCCAAACAACTTGATTTTTTGAAACAATAGAGAAAAGTGGTGTAGAATTCATGTAAAGCAATAAAATTCCTGTTTATTATAAAAATAAACAGTAGGGAGTAAATTAAACTTACCTTATTTTCACTGAAACACTCCATCTTGAATAATCCATGCACAAAATTAAAAAAACAATGAAAACGCAAAATGTCCATTTTTTATGAAAAATCAGTAATCGCACGAAAATTGATCGGGCGATAACACCGAGCGATAAAAATTACGAAACTATAGCTCTCGGGTAGCCGCAAATTCTCGGCGTCTGGGTAACGGGGACGAAAAACTCGCCGCGCGGCGTAAAACGAGATGTAATCCTAGTACCTAATATTATAATATATATAAAAACTATATAGTATAGTATAGCCTAGGGCTAGATCTAGATCTACTAGATTCTAGTACTAGACTAGGTCTAGAATCTAGATCTAGATTTTTCTAGATTAATAATATTAATTCTTTAGATTTTGATTCTAGATCTAGATCTACACTCTACAGTTTACTATTTATTTACTATTTACTTGTACTACATTACATACATACAAATTTAATGAAATTGCTAGATCTAAATTAATAAAATTATTAACTAATTAATTAATAATTAAGTTTAGTTTAGGCTACAGAGAGTATTAATAGTATTAATATTTATTATAAACTGAATTTTATAATAGGCCTACATATAATATATATATATAGGGTAGGGCCTATATATATATAAATCTAGCTAGGCCTATATATATATATATAGGCCTATATATATATATATATATATATATATATATATATATATATATTTATATATATATATATAATATACTATATACACAATAAACATCTTGATAACGAAAACTAGTATTTAAATGATGTTTTATTATTAACACTTTTGTTAAGATATTGCGACACCGTGGCAAGAAATCTAAAAATAGATATAGGAAATTCCACGCATTTCATTTCGGTTTTGCTTTGCCTATCCTAGTAGTTAGTAACTCTCATAGTAAGATGATCTGCACCTCGCAAAGCTCTAAAAATATTTAGATCGATCCGTCCAGTAGGGGGGGGGGGGGGGCGGCCGCTCCCCCTCTGGCCATTTTCAGCAAAGTGGCGCCTTTTTGGAAACTTTTTAAACTCAAAGTTTTAAACAATAATATTTGTTAAAAAAATATTTTTGGTCGGCACATCTATGTAAATCACAAGATTTCTTTTCATGCAGCAATAAAGCATTATTGTACTAGTCTAGTAGTGTCTACGTTTACAACACGTATTAACTGCTGCATCAGTTTGCCATTCTAAAAATAACCATTTCGATGCATTGCAATGTTTAAAAAACCTCTACGGGTAGTACCACTTGGCAAGAGGGATGTTAAGTTAAAGGCAACTGTATAATGTATTTGCTTACGTATAATTGAATTAGAAAATGTTATACATAAAACTTCACACATAATTACTTTATATATATACAGTTTGAATCGTGTGATTAATTTTTAAAAAATTACAAAACAGAAACAAATACAGCTGATGTGGCACCTCTATTTAAATTTACTTATGAGCAAACCTCGTAGTGGAGGGGAAATTTTGACAAGGTCAACAACGTCATCACGATGAAGTAGTAGTATTCTTACAATTTGGGCGATAGTGATTACGATTACAAATTATATGAAACAGTTACAACCCACTCCCACATGGACCCCTCTGTAAAAAAAAATATTGTCATAATATTACTGCTACTTATTTAAATCTATTTCTGTAATATATATTTGTGTAATATATATATATATATATTTGTGTAATATATGTATGTTTAGAACAGTCATCTAAAAACTGACGCTATGTTCACTTTGAGTTGGTTATTCCCCCCCCCCCTACACACACCTCACCACCTTAATTGTGTAGAGCGACATTAATGTCACACCTAGGTATACACTGGGTTGGATAATTGACCTAAAGTGACCGGACAGTGGTGAATGAAGTTGAACCCACCGTCCCCCCCCCAACCCACCCCGAACTGATCTGTTAAGTACATGTAGAAAAATGCGTAATGATGTACCAAAGTACCATGCCGCCAGAAAAATAGCTTTTTAAATGTAAAACTCTGTGAATATTGTTTTTGCAATTACCGGTAAAAGGTGTGTGATCAATACAGTGATCTAAACCATACCTATCACTATGTTAAAAAATGATCTTTAAAGAACACAAAGAAGCAGTAGTTAATTAAAAATATATGATCTGCACTAAAAGACTGGTATTTAGTTAAATGTAGGCTGTTACTCCTAATGTTTTCTATTATATCGAAAAGCGTGGTTTTATACCAACTCTGATTTTAAAAACTTTCATTATGCTGTTATACTTTAGGATTTATGATGACGATATATTAAATTCTGATTATAGACAAAAAACATTTTGTAAACACGAATAGTGTTAAACAATTTCATTATATTCTAAAGTAATTATTTATTGGTTTTGACATTTATAATTAAATTTGAAGATACATACATATGTATATTAAGAGAGTGATTATTTCCCCTATTTCACTTGTCTTGAATAATTTCCCAGGAATTATTATCTAAGAAATTTTTTTTACAAGAATTACAAAACAGATTGTGTTAAGTTCATTGTGTTTGGTTGTAGTGTGTGTATTATTTTTTTTTTAGATTGATACAATTTTTGTTTTGTCGGCCTACATTGTTTTTTCTTATTTCTTCAGAGTGCAACTTTCAATTTATTTTACATCATTGCAAAGTAATGTCATACAGCTAGTAATGATATATATATATATATATATATATATATATATATATATATATATATATAATACACGAATATAGAAAGTGTTAAAAATTCAGCGCTTTTTATTTTGCTCTTTTCGCTCCCCCTACAACGAAAACCCGAATACGCCTCTGGATCTGTCCCTAGATAAACTTAATGCGGTTGCTTGTAGAAAAAGTGTTTTAAACGTTATAAGTAATAAGGGGTCGTTCATAAATCACATCACTCTCGTAGGGGGTAGGGCCGGTTAGGGTATCCGTAATTTTGCGACGATGTGTGATGAGAGGGAAGGGCACCATAAGAATACAAATCTATCACCATATAGGAACACAAGTCTATCATCACACGACTCACACTTTTGCATTAACGAAATATATTTTTAAAAATAATTTCGCGTTTTATAAATTGTTAAATAAATTGATTAAAATATTATATGATACATTTTTCAAATATTTTTATATAATTGAATTGATTCTAAAAAGTAATTTTAAGTTTTGAAAATTACTTTTTTATATTGACGAAAGCGGAGTCACACATTCTTAAAAACATTTTACTTCAAACTTTTGAAGTAAATACTTTTTGAATATACGTTTGAACTACAGCATGGCCTAGCTTTGTTACTTGTGCACAAAAAAAGGAGAAAATGAATAATATTATTTAACTGTATGATCCCCAGAAAACACTCAACATGAACTTAGGACGTCAAGAAAGCCAGGAAAGGTCGTTAAAAAGTTTTGAACAACACATGAAAAATTGTCCGTGCTCTTTTAACTTGGGAACTGTTGATATCAGCGATATAGTTCATACATGTCAACAATCTGGCATACATTTGCCTATACTAAGAAATAATACGTATGAATTCTTGGCAGATGATCTGGAAGACAAATACGATTATAAAGAGTTCGAAGATCCAATATGGAAAAAAAACCTTCTAACCAAAGTATATTTTGAACTTGGTAAAATTGGTAAAGCTATTCGAATCAATAAAGAAATTCTAGAATTAGAAACTTACAACATTACAGCTCTAGCCAATTCCGCATTTTTGTTTTTCTTAAATGAACAAGTAGATGATTCTTTTCATGTGATTAATCAACTGCAAACGTTCGAAAATTTAGACAGATACAAACGAATGAAACTTGATGGAATAATCGAGCAAGCGTATGCGTACCAGAAGTTAGGAGGTGGAAAAAATCTTCTTAGTTGTATACAGCTATTAACAGTTGTTTCCTCTCAGATTCATTTCGATGAAAAACATCAGTTTCTTGGCGCTGTTGTTTACAGAAGAATATGTATGACAAAAGTATCTTGGCAATTTGAAGAATACCCGCAAACTGAACATTACGCAACAGAAGCGGCTAAACGTCTTCACTCTCTTGGAACAACCGCATCAGATCCTACCATTAGAGCAGTTGCCATAGTAGAGTTGGCGTACCTGAGATATCAAGACCGGTTCAAAGGCACAAGGCAAGTGAGCACACAAGTCTGGCGCGATCTGCTGGGGGATATGTCATGGAGACAGCTCTGCTTCAAAGCCCTTGAAATAACAAGTTCAAGTGATATGGTTTTAAAAATGATTGGTTCAATCTTAAAATCTCATCCAAAATATAGAGAAAAAGCAATAGAGTGTTTAAAAGAAGCGATCAAAATACATCCATCAAGCCGGGCGTACCATCATTTAGGCATTGCTTACATACACAAAGCGATACAATACGAATCAGAAAATAAAACAACACGATTCCATCATAAACATTTTCCACCAGAAACACTTAATCATGCGGAAAAACGTTTAAGAATGATATTAAAATTAGCAAAAGAAAACATATTTCCACTGAGCTCCGATAATGAATATGCAATTCTTGCCGAAGAGAATTTACGGACAGCTGTTGAAGTGAGTCACAAGCTGAACACAAAGGCGCAGTATGATCTCGCATTTCTGCTGGTAAAAATACAAAATTATGCTAAAGCAAGACAAACTTGTAAAGAGCTGATCACATTTTTTGATAATGATGACCCGGAGATGGTACAGCAGTTTAGTCTTGTTACTGTGTACGATCTGTATGGAAATATTTGTGCTCTGGATGCTGAAAGGGCAACAACCGATTTAGCAAGAAAAATGCTTTTAGACCAGAGCGAAGAGCTTTTAATGGACGCAGTGCGTATGGCTACACGCATTGCAGTAACTCTTCCAGAATTCAAAAATTGTGCAACTAACTTGTGGAAATCATTTAATAGGCTGACTGACAGGTATACATGCAGTTTTGAAGCCAGTAATGAAAGCAAAAATAAACTTATACAATTATGTGATATGGTTAAAGATTATCGCTACTTGCCGAAATTAGACGAAATGATGACTTTCCTGGAAACGAATGATTGTCATAAAGAATCCATTGAGATTTATGTAAAAAATATGCTGGAAAATAATAAATATGACGATGCAACTCTCTTATTAGATTTTGCGAAAATTCCCCCTAGTGTAAAATGTGAGTTAACATGGCAATCAAGTGAGGTGATAAAAAGTGTTATGATCCATCAAGCTAAAAGGAGCCTCAAGATATCTCCAAACATTGTGGACCCCATTTGGCTCAACATAATGAAAGAAGAGTTTGCTTCTACTTCCTTAAATGTTGAAAATCTAAAGGATTCAAACAGTTTGAATATTATAATTATAGAAGACATCGGAGATGATTATGTGCCTGTTCGAGGTAGTTGGTCTGACAAAGTTTCTCGTGTCTTAAAGGAGATAATTCAATTTAATTTTGGCATTTCAGTTCTTCGTTGCCACGAAATAGGTCAGCCTGGTCAGCAAGTCTTGGAAGTGTTGCAAAAAGCAATGTCTACATCCACAGTTGTGATGTTTGTTATTGACAATGAACTAAATCTTTCATCGACCAGTAGAGACAGTCAAATACAGGATGACGCGCCCAGCGTGTCTCCTTGTTGCACAACTTCAACACAAGATGTGTACTCAGAGTGGTTTAAATTTGTAATTGAGGCCGCTGTTAACTCAAACACACGCGACAGTAAACCTGCTTACATTCTTACAGTAACAAACACAAACCAAACACCAGAGCTACCATCTTTGCTGGTAGATAAACCTAAACTTGCTGTATCAAAATTAGAGGTGGATTGTTTGTCTCGAGCTTCGAATATTAAAATGGACGAGAAAATAGAAATCATCATGAGAATTTTTTGCAAGATTGTTAGAACAAACTATGTTTCGCCCAAGGTTTCAGTTCCATCCGGGGCTGTTAGTATTGAGGCAGCTAGTGTTTCCCATAGGCTTTTGCATGGGGCTGAGGCTTAATGACACTGATGTGGTAATCACCCATTACACGGGTTTTAGGCTTAATTACAAGTATGTGCGAGCCGAGATTAGTAGGGGGATTAACCGAGGAGGCTGATGTTTATATCTAGTCACAGGCTAGGCTCAACGTGTGAGAGTTCTTTACTAATTGGAACTTGACAGATCTAGCACAGCCATACATAAATATGTTTGTATTTCGGCCGCACTTCTAGCCTTACAGATGTTCGAGTCTATAGTAAATTCTTCTCTTTGTGACATAGCAATAATTTAATGTCATTAGAAATTTTATCGTTAGCTTACACTTAAGACGATTGACATCTACTTTTTGAAAAAAAGATTTTTCAGTGTTCTTAAAATATAGGTTAAGCATATTTGTATATGACGCCTTGAAATGTGGGTTATTATAAAATATTATAATATAGGCCATATTCATATAATATGCTATATGATCTACATCTAATATATAGGTCTAGGCTATCTTCCAAATTGACTGTGAAGCTTTAGAATCATGACATTGATTTAAAACTAACTACCTTTTGTTATTTTGTATGTACAAATATTTGCCTTAAATTACGTAGGCACTATTGTGTAATTTATAAAATTCTATTTATAAAAAAGTAAGTTTCATTAAATCAAATAGCACCTAGCCTATATACATAAACATTTGTCTACATCTGCACAATTTTGAATCTTGAAATAAAAAGAAAATATGAGGAAATAGAAATGTAAAACAAATTTTATTTAATCTAGAGTAAAATGTACCAGAGTTAGCAGATTTTGATGTTGCTCTTCCTTAAAAAAATAATTAATTGTCTTACTCATCACAAATCAATATAAGCAACAGTTATAGATATCATTTAAAAATTTGCATTAGTAGCTATCTTTAATACATGCTGGCATTTAAATAAAAAAAATAAAAAATTTGTTTTAAAAACTTTTTTGTAAGTAAGTAGAGTGCAAGTGAATATTTAAATACCATGTTTGTGGAGCAGACACAGCTAAACGGAAACAAGCTAACGATGCTTGTTTAAATTTTGACAAAATTTTAAATAATTGCTCCAAACTTTATTAATTCAATTGTGTAGTTTGTTTTATTTGTTTTGGAAAATGTCCATTAAACTTTGGCCATAAGTAGAACACACATGTTCTTTTCTTTGCTAAAAAAAACAGAAATCTGCAAGTTGGCCTACAAAGTATCCGACTCTGATGCTTATATGTCTAGTGCAGGGGTCTCCAAACTTTTCAGTCCGAGGGCCGCATTAACTTTCAAATTTTAGTTCGGGGGCCAGTTTCTTTCAGGCATGTCTTTGATTTTTCTGAGCCAAGTTCCTCAGCCATCACCAACAAACGGTTTTTTCGTGGACAAAAAGATCTCCGCGGGCCGGATGAGAGGACCTCGCGTGCCGCATCCGACCCGCGGGCCGTAGTTTGAAGATCCCTGGTCTAGTGCATGAGTATGAGAGAAACTGGGCACAGAGCAGAGGCGTAGCGATGGGGGGGGGGGGCAGGGGGGTACATATGATCCCGGGCGCCGACCTTGGGGGGCGCCAAAATGGGTTGAAAAAACAAATTTAAATGTAATTTTAGCTGCATTTTTGCATTATAAATAGTTTGAGGGGGGGTTGCAAATCGAAAGATTTAGGGGGGAGGGGGTGCAAATCGAAAGTTTGGGGGAGGGTGCAAATTGAAAATTTGCTCCCAAGGGGGGCGCCAAATTGAAAGTTTGTCCCCGGGCGCCGGGAAGGGTCGCTACGCCTTTGGCACAGAGTTGGTAGTAAGAACAAAAAAATCTGAACTTACATAGCTAGACTTTATTACTAAAGCTGTGTCAGCGTCTGAGAAAGCAAACACCAGCAAAATAAATTTAAAAATTTGATTGGAAGCCATGATTTGAAAATAAAAACCCACTATTAGATCACCTTTCTTACCTTCTAAAACTCTTATTTAAATGGCAATTAATTTTTTATTAATCTGAAAAAAATACCTTTTTAAGTTTAGTATAATAAAAATATCAATAAGCATGATTAAATAACTATTCTGAAAAAAATTCAAATCAGCTGATATTTGAAACTTCCAAAACAGCATGGCGAAATGATGATAGACAACTTTATTCACATTAACTTGTAACCTGGGAAATCAAACTTCTAAACAAGCTGGTTTTTGTGTTTTAACTATTAGGCCTATAATGACTTTTTTAAAAATGATTTGTTTTGGCGCATATTAACTTTCCAGATATTATACATCAATAAAATGTATATTTTAATAGAATGCCAAATAAAAGACAATATCTAAAAGACGCTTAATAACAATCATACCAAAGTTAGGTCACAAAAACAATGGGTTAATTTTGTACAGAACACAGCTAACACAAAAGAGATTACATTTTTAATTAAATAGACTCACAATTTTATACACCAACCAATAAAATTTGCATAGATATCTTAAAGAGTTACAGCAACATATTAAATCTATTTTAAAAAGTAATCACATTTCTTGTCACTTTGATTTGAATTACAGTAAACCAGAATCAATATATATAAAATCTACATTATTTATTTCTTTAAAGTTTAATGACACACAATTCTTAATTCTGCATAAGGAAATCTCATCCAACATTGCAATTAAGAATGAACAATAATAAGAATATTCATTATATTTTTAACTACAATTATAAATGTAATACAAATGCAACATGAATTTCTTATTTATTACCAAAAATAAAATCAAAACTTATTCAAAGTTTGGAATGAACTAAGCATTTTTAAAAATTGTATAACTGTTTTACAAAGTATTTTTATTGAGGATAAGTGTATTTAAAAATTGTTTTTTTTATTTTTTTTTAATAGTATCTATAAACATTTGAAAAATGCATAATGTTTAACAATTTTATTTAGGTGGAACTCGTTTATATGTGATTAAATATTCAGGATAGCAGCACCTTTCAGAGTATACAACAAACTCTCTGTATAGTGAAACTGTTGAGCCTCCCCCATCCAGTGTGATAGAATCATAAAACACATGATCTTTACTGCATTTTTCATCTTGACATTCCATACAAGGTGGTCTAGCAAATCTTTCAGCTGCAGTATAAAAAATGCTAATGAAGTTCAAATATAAAGATTTAGGGATAAAAATAAATAAATCTAAGTGTGCATTTTTTGATTAAATAGATTTGACCATAGTATGTAAATAAAGCTTTTGACCTTACGGTCTATAGAACAGGTAAAGTCGAGTTCACTTGCTTCAGTGATCTTGGCTAGTGAAAGTATAGTGTGGACAGAACTATGCCAAACATCATTTACTTTGTGAGTCAGGTACCCATCACAGCTGAGTCGACTTGAGCCATCCTATCAAGCCCCGTGTCCAACCTGAAGACTATCGGGTAAGCAGCCAAACAAGCTTGACCATTTATTTTGCTCATTTTTTTGTTATAGTGCTCTAAGAAAAAAATTAAAGTTCAATGACCTCCTCTAACCACTCTGGGATGATCTCTATGGACCACATATGTGTTTCCCAACACTGCTCTCAACAGGAAAAGGTAAAGCTTAGTCCCTGGAGCACTACGTGGCTGATTAGCAGCTGTAAATAAATAGGATAAACTGTATTGAGGTAATGGAGTTATCATTACACCTAATAAAGTAATGCATTTTAAAGCAATGAAAATTTTACCACAGAGAATAAAAACATACTCAGTTAAACTTACCTTTTGGCTTTGGATCTGCATATTGATCAGATTTGGTAGACTTTTCAGCCAAATACACACCTTTCCCCAACATTCCATGTGTACAAAGTTTAGGGTCGAGGCCTTGTTTGGTTAATGTTGCCACAAATTCTGGTTTAGTTCCATGAAATAAATAATGTTCATTGATCTCTGAATACAATTCTTCCTTCATAAAACTTTCCAAAAACTCAGTTGTCTTTAGCTGCTTGCTAGGTAAAGTAATACCAAAATCATCACAAACTTTTTCATTTTCAACCATCTTTTGAAAGAGCTTTTTGCGTTCATTAGCATAGGGATCAAACAGATGTATATTCTCAACTCTCTGTACATCTAAGACTTCAATAGTTGTGTTTGGTACCAGACCTTTAGCATCTGCTCCAGTTCCAACTAAATTTGGTTCCCAAGTTTTCTGAACTAAATCTATTACAGCCTTCTTTGTTTTAGCATCCACTGGTATCAGGAATGTTTTACTTTGTCCACTAGCTGGTCTTTCTTCATTTCTGTCAACAACATTCTTCCAATATCTTTTGTCTGAGTACACCTTCCAATAGGTTGGGCAGGTTTCATTTATTTTAGAAGCATATTTGATAAATTCAATTGAACCCCTTGGAGGTGTATTACTTGCTTTAATTGATTTCCTTGGAAAGTTTTTTACAACCTCATGAATTTCATTCATTGCAAACTTTTCTAGAACTTCAACATTTTGCTTGAAGCCTTTCAGGCAACATTTTATTTCATTTTCATCTGATGAAAAACTAACATGCACTGAAGAATTTTCAGCCTTTTCTTCTATTCTCTTTTGTAATGTACTTGGCCAGACAGGTAGTGTATTATCCTTCACTTCAGCTGTATGTAAACACTGGTTGTTAAAATACTCAGACAGTTTTGCAAAAATGACACTCTTGTTTGTTTCTTTTTCAGCTGTTATGGATAACTCAAATTTAACTCCACTGACTAACTGCACAGAGTGTACATGTTCATAATCATTGTTATCCCCTTTTTTAATGGATACTGATTCAGCTGATTTTACATAATGTTCATTCATTTTAATAAGCACTTGAGCATCATCTTTACAACTAACTACAATATTAATTCTAGGGGCTCCTGGATTAGATGAGAAAAACTTGTATGCAGATTTCAACATTGTCTTACCAAGTTTTTCTAAAGGAAATTTAAATGCCTGGCCACAGCCAATGGGTGGGAAGGAAATAGACTTGGCACCTATTTCCATTGCCTTTTTCATAATTGTATTCACCCATTCTTTAAGTTCATGTTTTGAGTGGCTTTTATCCCATCTAGTGACGACAATGCTACAAACAGCTTTACATGTTAAACCAGCTGTAAATGGTCCCATTGTTGTTATGACTGTAGACTTTGGATTTTGTTGTTTAGCAGTTTCTAGTTTGTCCTTCAATGCAGGACAAGCCTTCAGAAAGGCTTTCCCTATACCTGTTCTTGATAGCTTGATATGGTTGTCTAACACACAAACTAGAATATCTGAGCTGTCTTCCACAATGTTTCCTATCTTAATGTTTAGTTGGCCAATATTTTTTATAGCTTTAGTGCTGGTACTGTTTGCCTTAGCTGTGGCATTATCCACATTTCTTGTAAAAGTATTTGCAACAGGAAGATTTATTCTAATAAGGCACTTTTCTTTTATTTCAATTTGGTCTATTTTTTCTTTGACCATTTCTTCATTCAAACCTTTAAAGAGAAGCCAAAGATCCATATCACTATTTAAATAAACCTTTCTGAGATCCCATGTCTGTGTGACAATATTTTCAACAATATCCCTGAAAGCACCATATACAATACGGACTGAATTATTATCTCCTTTAAATGTATAGGTTTTATAATCTTTTGTTTCGCACTCCACTTTACTTACAATTGAGGTTACCTTTGGCTGCAGGTGTTTTTGTGTAAATTGTGCCACTAAGTCATTCATTGTGTAAACTTTTTCATGTATCAAATGTGAACCAATCAATTCATTTATGTCTCGTTTAGAAGAAATGACATCATCTTCTACGCCCTCCGCATAGATTTCTTTCAAATCCTCTTTCCATGACAAACAAATAAGTAACTCATTTTCTAAATTATATTTGAGCATAAAAAGTTTTTCCAATGACAGCTCTGTACTTGACACTGCAGTGTCTTTGTAATTCAACTTTCTTTGCAACTGACCTTTCACCTCATTCAACATTTTGTCATCTTTTGAGGCCAGATAAATATTACTTTGATCCATTGTAAAAGTAACTCTACTTTTCTTAGCTATACTGTCAATGAAATTTTTTATAAATGCTTTCCCCTTTTCCTTTGAAAGAATGGAGACCATTGCAGTGGATAGTTTTAACTCAGCTTTTTCTAATTGATTGAGTTCTGTAAGCAGTTTACACAGAAGCGTGTTGACCTCACTTTCTTGACCTTTAAGTGTTGCTAATTTCTTTATCTTGTTAAAGTTAACACTGACACTTCCTTGTTTACCAAAATAATGAGCCAACATTTCATACTCATGCTCTTGCATTTCCTGTCTTACTTTAAAAATTTTTGATTCCTCCAATTGTTTAATTTTTTCTGATAGCTGTTCAATTATATTTTTTTGTTCAGTTATTTGTTGTTTCAACAATGCAATTTGTTTATCCTTGTCTTCTACTTCTACTATTTCAGTATCATCAGAACTATCAGATGTTTGTCTTTCTTTAGTAACTTTCAAAGGCTTAACAATTTGTTTTTTGTCTGTTTCACTTTCATCGCTAGAATCACTGTCTGAAAAATCTACATCATCACTTTCTGTGCCATCTTCTTCCAACTGCTGGTTTTGATCACTGTCATCATCACTATCATCACTAAAATCTACTTTATTTTTAAATATTTTCTCATTTAAACTTGATTGATTCTTTGATCTATTTAATTTTTCTGATATCATAAAACTTGTTTTAAAACCTATTCCCTCTTCATCATCTGAGTCTGACTCTACATTCAGGTTCTGCAATGCTGGTTTAATTGAATCATCTGAAGAAGTATCACTTTCATTCGTGTATTCATTGGAGGAATCGCTATCAACTTTCACTGAAGCTCCTCTTTTGGAGCTGTAGTTACTAGCCAGTTGTTTCCTGTCTCCTTTCTTATATAAAGCAGCCTCTTGCTGTGTTTGAGAATTTTTAGTTGAATCTTTAATGGTCACTTCAAAATGTTCTTGGTAAAATTCTTTGCTCAGACAAGGAAAGTAATGTGTAACTTTAAGTATTTTATTTTCCAGTGTGTGTTCTGATTTATTTGTAATGCTGTAAGTAGCTGTAAAATGCAAACAGTGAAAATGTATATTGTGTTAAAATTAATAATATAGGGCCTATTAAACTATAAAGCCTACTTTAATTATCTAAAATATTGGCTATTGAATTTTAATGTGAAACCAAGCAAAACTGAATGTCCAACTATTGTAAGAATACATTGTGTAAATAAATACTAATTGACATATTTACATTTATATTTGTTGCACACTATTTTTAATATTAAATATAATTGTTACCTTCAACACTCCTTAGAGTTATTATGGAAGAATTCATATTTTTTCTTTCCCAACTTTCAACCATTCCAGAGCATCCTCCACTTCGACTGTTGTTAATATACCTTTTCAGTGTTTCATCTGAAATCTTCTCAATTCCTTCAACTAAGATCATCCTGGTTTTCTGTACTGGAGCACAGATGAGGTACTGATCCATGAAGTCACCAGCACATTTCCATGTCATTGCTGGTATGTTTTCTGATAAAAACAAAAAGAGTAAAATAAAAATTTGTCAAAATACTAAATCCACTTTTTAAAATTATAAGCTACTCAGTCTTGATATTACAGACAATTCATATCTGGACAGATTTCCCCCCCCCCCCCCCCCCCCCCCATGTAGACTAATTTGTTAGTGGGGAATGTTGGTATTCTAAAATTAACCAGCAAAGCAAAACTGTTTCCATTAAAAATAGAATACAAGCACTCTCAAGGCTATAAGAAAAATAAGCTCATTTTATGTTACTGTACTCTTTACTATAATTTAAACTTTTGAATTTAATTCATTACAAAGTATAAGCAAATTTCATGTTTGTAATAATAACATCTTTAATGTTTTTCTTAATATACAACTCACTCTGAAAAAAAAAGGAATTATTCAAATTACCTTTTAGACACTTCTCTGCAGAGAATTCTATAATTATTGATCTCTCTTCATTATACTGGTATGTTTTTATTACTTCAAAACCAGATACTTTTTTCAGGTGTTGCTTCAGTTTGTTTATCTCTGTTATAGGACGACTGGCATGTATCGCAATAAGGTTGCCATACACATCTAAATCTGAAGCACTGGCCATTGCAGTAGATACAAAAATATTGGCGGAATCATATTTCTTTTCACAAAACTTTTTTGCATCTGAAATTTATTTTTTGGGGACAAACTTTTAAATGTAATAAAAACAAATTAGTTTATGAATGAATATTAAACCTTTAGATTGTTTATAAAGTATTATTAAATGAAATTAAAAATGTGTTAATATTTCATTAAAAAAATTGTTTAGAATTAGTAAAAACAATTAGTTACCTTGTATATTATTAAAGGTGATGTATAAAAATCTTCTCATCCCATCCAGAATCATTAGATTTTTACAGTAGGGCCCAAAATAACCTCTTTTACTTTCTAACAATGATATATAGAATTCTTTAGGCTTAGTTACATCAGTTAGGGAAATTCTGACTGTAGTTTCTGCCATCTTTGACAGGTTGGTGGTTTCAGAAAATAATTGTTCCGCGAGTTCATTATCTTCATTGCCTAGCCTTGTTTTTGTTTTATCATTTTCTGAAATTTTATTGTGTTGTGGTTTGTTAAAACAGTCACTGGGCTTTTTTATATTTTTCTCAGCTTGTTTTCCAATGTTTGGAGTAATCTGAACTGGCTTTGACGTTGTTTTTGAGTAAGACATGTGTTGCTGACTTGTTTGATGTTCAGAAAATGTGTCATAAAATTCCTCACTAGTATCAGAATCTGTTGCAGGTAAAATAATTTTATTGGATGCAATAGATTTTTCTTGTTTTTTAAAAGCCTTCATATTAGTGTTACTTGCACCAGAATCAACAGTTGCTCCTCTGTTTTCATAATAAGGCTCCACTCTTACAGAAGACTTTCCAATATTAACAGAGTTTCCACGTTTAATAATTATTTTTACAGCTGAAAAAAAAGGATTACAATCCCTCAATTGACCCTCATTTCTATGATCATTAAAACAATTATTGGCACACAAAAAATATTTTAGAATATTTATATTTTAAACTTAGAAACAAAATTTAACAAACATATTACCAGCATTTCTTATAAATAAAATGTTTTTGTTTTTAAATGTTATTTAGTTGTTTCTTTTCAACCATTCTTGTTAAAATAAATACATAAATGAAACTTAATGTTTAAGGCCTGCAGAACAAAAACAGACATTTATTTTAGGCAGAAAAACAGCATACAAACAAGAATGGGAAAATAATGTGACAATGAGGGTCCAGCATGGGATGCAAAGATTTTTGTGATAAGAATAACAAGCTAATGCATGTCTATTTTATTAGATTTAGAATTTTCATAATAAATGTAATAAAAAAATTGATGCTTTTTAAACTCAATTTATTGTTGCTTTTAATCTTTATCAAAAATTTATTGTTCACAAAGAAAACCAATAGCAAATTTACCTTCACTTTCTTCAAACACAACAATAGCAGAACGTGTAGCTTCATCTAATGTGATGTTTTCAACAGGGCCACCACCCTGGCTCCACTGGTTTTTAAATAAAAACTTGAGCTGGTCTGTGGTAACATCAGGGGGAAGTTCTGTCACTCTCAGGCTTCTGGTTTCTTCTTCCATCTTCAACAAGAACTTTATTTTTAAATTGTAGTAGGCCTAGATCTGTTGTTTAAGGGTGGGGATGACATCCAGGGTTACTTCACAAGGTGTCAAGTCACCAGAGACGCCACTGAATTTAAAAAAAATTATGGATATCAAATTTTTGTAGGAAAAATATCGTATTTCGTCTTCATTTAATAATTATGCTTTACAATTTATAAAACAAAAGATAAGCTATTACTAAATATTAGAATTACCCAACCTTTCAAAATGGCAAAATTGTTTTCTTGAAAAAGGGTTTTATTGGCTGATATATAATATCAATAACTCTAACCCCAGTCTGTCTATCAGATATTAACTTTTTATAACATTGTTGCCCATGCATTATTTCTTTACAATCATCCCACTCTATTAACTATTTATAACTCTATAATTTATAGATCATCTTGTATAGTATAGACCTATCTATATGATAGCCTTGATTAATAACATACTACAAACAAATTAAAATTGATTAGCCTAACATTTAAAATTTAAACCTGAAACACAAATAGTTAAAAGTTAGAAAAGACTTTCTCTGAGCATATACAATCTAGGTAATTATTAATATGAATTATAATTATAAGATAAAGATATGCCTACCTAAAATTGATAGCCTATATCATAATTATATAGTATAGTAGATCTATATGCCTACCTTGATGTTGATCATTACAAAAGTTTTAACTTGAGGAAAAAGAAGTCAGCCTATTATTATTTAGTCTATTAAGTATTACTCTATATCAAGAGCGAAAGTAAACCTAAACTAATGAAATTTAATCAATAAAACCTGCAGCTTTTCAGCATAAAGTTTAGTGGTTGCTTACCATGAGATGAGTAAAGGCTAATTTTTTAAAAATGATCTCGCATTAAGTTAATAAGTATTAATTCTACCATATTTGCAACGGAAAAATTAGATAATTACGGAAATTCCCGATTAGCTGGGCGCAGTATACCGGAAATCTGCAGTGAAAATAAAAGTTGTTTGTTGGCATGAAGTGTGAGGGTGGGGGTGTAACCATAACCAGACAAATTACGAGGGGCATCACCATATGAACATGCCACGCCCACAACCCACTTCAGTAAAGGGATATTGAATTTACTTGCCGTTTAACTGCCACTTAGGAGCAACCTAAACGCACCCCCCCCACCACCCTCCCGAACTGGGGGTGGTGAGGGGGGGGAGCACCCCATCCCAGCACACCCCCACCACCCTCCCGAACTGGGGGTGGTGAGGGGGGGGGGGGGAGCACACCATCCCAGCACACCCCCACCACCCTCCCGAACTGGGGGTGGTGAGGGGGGGGGGAGCACCCCATCCCAGCACACCCCCACCACCCTCCCGAACTGGGGGTGGTGAGGGGGGGGGAGCACCCCATCCCAGCACACCCCCACCACCCTCCCGAACTGGGGGTGGTGAGGGGGGGGGGGGGAGCACCCCATCCCAGCACACCCCCACCACCCTCCCGAACTGGGGGTGGTGAGGGGGGGGGGGGGGAGCACCCCATCCCAGCACACCCCCACCACCCTCCCGAACTGGGGGTGGTGAGGGGGGGGGGGGGGAAGCACCCCATCCCAGCACACCCCCACCACCCTCCCGAACTGGGGGTGGTGAGGGGGGGGGGGGGAAGCACCCCATCCCAGCACACCCCCACCACCCTCCCGAACTGGGGGTGGTGAGGGGGGGGAGCACCCCATCCCAGCACACCCCCACCACCCTCCCGAACTGGGGGTGGTGAGGGGGGGGGGAACCCCATCCCAGCACACCCCCACCACCCTCCCGAACTGGGGGTGGTGAGGGGGGGGAGCACCCCATCCCAGCACACCCCCACCACCCTCCCGAACTGGGGGTGGTGAGGGGGGGGGGGCACCCCATCCCAGCACACCCCCACCACCCTCCCGAACTGGGGGTGGTGAGGGGGGGGGGAGCACCCCATCCCAGCACACCCCCACCACCCTCCCGAACTGGGGGTGGGGGAAGGGGGGAGCACCCCATCCCACCCCAACCCTCACCCTCCCACTCGGAGTGGGGGAAGGGGGAGCACCCCATCCCTCCCACTCAGAGGGGAGGGGAGCACCACATCCCAACCCCCACCCTCCCACTTAGAGGGGGGAGCATCTCACCTTCTCCCTCCCCTACACACACACTCTCCCAGCTATCAAAACTTAAAACTAGAATTAACACCAAACACGCAAGTAGAAAAGCTGACTTACAATGTCCAGCTTTTCCATGTAGTTTCATCTGATTTATTTGTATTTCTGGTTCCAAATTTAAGCTTTTTTTTTTAAGCAATTTTGTTTTTGTATTTATAAAAAATTATATGCGTGTTTTAAATTTTATTACAACTAAAGATTCACATCTGCAAAATGCTTGTTATTTGAAACCAGAAAATAGTCAAGTTCAAAGTTATTGGCCACAATTGACTACAGATGACACGTGGTAGGTGAGATGACATTAGTTGATAAACTAGAGATGACATTAGGTGATGAACTAGAGATGACATTAGGTGATGAACTAGAGATGACATTAGGTGATGAACTAGAGATGACATTAGGTGATGAACTAGAGATGACATTAGGTGATGAACTAGAGATGACATTAGGTGATGAACTAGAGATGACATTAGGTGATGAACTAGAGATGACATTAGGTGATGAACTAGAGATGACATTAGGTGATGAACTAGAGATGACATTAGGTGATGAACTAGAGATGACATTAGGTGATGAACTAGAGATGACATTAGGTGATGAACTAGAGATGACATTAGGTGATGAACTAGAGATGACATTAGGTGATGAACTAGAGATGACATTAGGTGATGAACTAGAGATGACATTAGGTGATGAACTAGAGATGACATTAGGTGATGAACTAGAGATGACATTAGGTGATGAACTAGAGATGACATTAGGTGATGAACTAGAGATGACATTAGGTGATGAACTAGAGATGACATTAGGTGATGAACTAGAGATGACATTAGGTGATGAACTAGAGATGACATTAGGTGATGAACTAGAGATGACATTAGGTGATGAACTAGAGATGACATTAGGTGATGAACTAGAGATGACATTAGGTGATGAACTAGAGATGACATTAGGTGATGAACTAGAGATGACATTAGGTGATGAACTAGAGATGACATTAGGTGATGAACTAGAGATGACATTAGGTGATGAACTAGAGATGACATTAGGTGATGAACTAGAGATGACATTAGGTGATGAACTAGAGATGACATTAGGTGATGAACTAGAGATGACATTAGGTGATGAACTAGAGATGACATTAGGTGATGAACTAGAGATGACATTAGGTGATGAACTAGAGATGACATTAGGTGATGAACTAGAGATGACATTAGGTGATGAACTAGAGATGACATTAGGTGATGAACTAGAGATGACATTAGGTGATGAACTAGAGATGACATTAGGTGATGAACTAGAGATGACATTAGGTGATGAACTAGAGATGACATTAGGTGATGAACTAGAGATGACATTAGGTGATGAACTAGAGATGACATTAGGTGATGAACTAGAGATGACATTAGGTGATGAACTAGAGATGACATTAGGTGATGAACTAGAGATGACATTAGGTGATGAACTAGAGATGACATTAGGTGATGAACTAGAGATGACATTAGGTGATGAACTAGAGATGACATAGTGGCGATGACAGAGAGATGACACGTGGGAGACGACAGACTAGAGATGACACGTGGGAGACGACAGACTAGAGATGACATGTGGGAGACGACAGACTAGAGATGACATGTGGGAGACGACAGACTAGAGATGACATGTGGTGACAGACTAGAGATGACATGTGGTGACAGACTAGAGATGACATGTGGTGACAGACTAGAGATGACATGTGACAGACTAGAGATGACATGTGGTGACAGACTAGAGATGACATGTGGTGACAGACTAGAAATGACATGTGGTGACAGACTAGAGATGACATTAGGTGACAGACTAGAGATGAATTTAGGTGACAGACTAGAGATGACATTAGGTGATAAACTAGAGATGACATTAGGTGATGAACTAGAGATGACATTAGGTGATGAACTAGAGATGACATAGTGGCGCTGACAGAGAGATGACACGTGGGAGACTACAGACTAGAGATGACATGTGGGAGACTACAGACTAGAGATGACATGTGGGAGACGACAGACTAGAGATGACATGTGGGAGACAACAGACTAAGAGATGACATGTGGGAGACGACAGACTAAGAGATGACATGTGGTGACAGACTAGAGATGACAGTGACAGACTAGAGAAGACATGTTGGAGACTACAGATTAGAGATGACACGTGAGAGACGACAAACTAGAGATGACATGTGGGGGACGACAGACTAGAGATGACATTATGTGACAGACTAGAGATGACATTATGTGACAGACTAGAGATGACATGTGAGAGACGACAGACTAGAGATGACACGTGGGAGACGACAGACTAGAGATGACATGTGAGAGACGACAGACTAGAGATGACATGTGAGAGACGACAGACTAGAGATGACATGTGAGAGACGACAGACTAGAGATGACATTAGGTGACAGACTAGAGATGACATGTGAGAGACGACAGTCTAGAGATGACACGTGAGAGACGACAAACTAGAGATGACATGTGAGAGACGACAGACTAGAGATGACATTATGTGACAGACTAGAGATGACATGTGAGAGACGACAGACTAGAGATGACATGTGGGAGATGACAGACTAGAGATGACATGTGGGAGACGACAGACTAAAGATGACATGTGGTGACAGACTAGAGATGACATTAGATGACAGACTAGAGATGACATTAGGTGATAAACTAGAGATGACATTAGGTGACAGACTAAAGATGACATTAGGTGATGAACTAGAGATGACATTAGGTGATGAACTAGAGATGACATAGGGGCGATGACAGAGAGATGACATGTGGGAGACGACAGACTAAGAGATGACATGTGGTGACAGACTAGAGATGACATTAGGTGACAGACTAGAGATGACATTAGGTGATGAACTAGAGATGACATAGGGGCGATGACAGAAAGATGACACGTGGGAGACGACAGTCTAGAGATGACATGTTGGAGACGATAGACTAAGAGATGACATGTGGTGACAGACTAGAGATGACATTAGGTGACAGACTAGAGATGACAGTAGGTGATGAACTAGAGATGACATAGGGGCGATGACAGAGAGATGACACGTGGGAGACGACAGTCTAGAGATGACACGTGGGAGACGACAGTCTAGAGATGACACGTGGGAGACGACAGTCTAGAGATGACACGTGGGAGACGACAGTCTAGAGATGACACGTGGGAGACGACAGTCTAGAGATGACACGTGGAAGACGACAGACTAGAGATGACATGTGAGAGACGACAGACTAGAGATGACATTAGGTGACAGACTAGAGATGACATGTGAGAGACGACAGACTAGAGATTACATGTGAGAGACGACAGACTAGAGATGACATGTGAGAGACGACAGACTAGAGATGACATTAGGTGACAGACTAGAGATGACATTAGGTGACAGACTAGAGATGACATGTGAGAGACGACAGACTAGAGATGACATGTGAGAGACGACAGACTAGAGATGACATGTGAGAGACGACAGACTAGAGATGACATTAGGTGACAGACTAGAGATGACATGTGAGAGACGACAGACTAGAGATGACATGTGAGAGACGACAGACTAGAGATGACATGTGAGAGACGACAGACTAGAGATGACATGTGAGAGACGACAGACTAGAGATGACATTAGGTGACAGACTAGAGATGACATGTGAGAGACGACAGACTAGAGATGACATGTGAG